TTCATTGTTCCAATTCACTGTACCACTTGCCATTCCTTTTAGAATAATATTCTTTATTTGAGATTCATACACGATAAACTGTTTAGTCATTCATGCTATTAATAAAAAAAGAAAGAAATAATTCTCGTAGAAATGACACGTGATTTCAATGGGAAAACCGTGGATTAGTTAATCAAGATTTTGCTGAACAACAACAAAACTGTCTATTGAAATAATGTAATACTTGAAACTAAGCTACTGTGTTAATAGTAATAGTCCATGGCAGAATGGACGTACTTAAAACTTGAACACTTGTGGTGGATATTTTCTACAGGGGCTAATATCCTGTGATTTTCATCCCCTTGGGGCTACAATTCCTTGTATCCATCGTTCCCCGGGTAACGGCAATACTACGACGATCGTGATAGCGATACATTTTTCTACCCTTAACGTACCAAAACCTTAGTGGCCCTAATACCCTGTAGCCCCTCACTATAATAAATTCCATGTAAATACGAAGGCTTTTGATATCCTAGTGATACCTAACCCCTGAAATTACTAACACACTGCGGCCCCTCATGTAACGGTTACGATATTACCATGAAGGCACTAATTCCCTAGAAAACCATGGTGATATCAAGACCCTGGCAACCCTAATACCCTGGGGCCCCTCATACAACGGCTACGATATTACCAAGAAATGGTGGTGCCCCTCATATAACGTTAACGATATTACCATGAAGCCATGCGCACTGAGTCCCAAGAAAACAATGGTGATACCAAGACCCTGGTGGCACTAATACGTCTCACTGGGAATTCAGCGACAAAAGTAGAAGCACAAGCAAAAGAAGAAGGGAACGTTTTCATCATTATGCTCATGCTTATGTTATTCTTATGTCACTAGTAAGAAACAGCTTTTTGCTGCTAGCTGTCAAAGTAGTCATGAGTTAACTGTTATTACCCCTTCCAAGGTAAGAAATTACTAACAATTGTAATTAACTTAAGTCTCAGTTTCGCATTTTTGCTTTCAGAGATCATTTATCATAAAAAACGACGTTCATTTGATTCCTTTGGCAGCGAGCTCGTCTTTAACCCTCTTTAGGTAAGTTGGATCTGGGTATCCAAATCTGAAATGCAAAAAGCGAGTTAATTAGTCAATGATAAGTTGAACGTGCTTTACCAGTAGCTGTGTTTTCTCCAATAAATTTCAAAGTTAATTAGTTAAATTAAGTTAGCTAACAGTGGAGAGTAAAAGAGAAAAATATTAGAAGGGAAAAGAAAAGGGAAGGGAGACTACGAAAAAAAAAATGATGATGATGATGATGGTGATAATAGTGATAATAAAACTAAAAGTTTTAATACCCTAAATGGAGGGAAATTCGTAAATGCAATCAATACGTGGGCTGTATCATCAATTCGCTAAAGTGGAGGAATAGTCAATTGGACAAAGAATGATCTGCAAGAAATGGACCGAAAAAAACAGAAAGTGGTTATGCATGTATGGAGCTCTCCACCCTAGATCTTGCGTCAACCGCATCTATTTACCAAGAACTTAGGGAGGGCGTGGCCTTATCAGCATTGAAGACTGCAACAGGACTGAAGAAAGAAGCCTTACATGGTATTTAAAGAAAGGTGAGGAAAAAATTGCTGACTGCGGCTTGGAAAATAAGAAAAATTACATCGGTGGAACAACCTAAAGATTACAAGGAGAGAAGAAAGATGGGAAGAAATAACGACAAAACCCCTACAGAGACGGTACCATCAGCAAGTAAAGGATGTGGCGGATCAGGAGACTTGGAATTGGTTGAGAGTTGGTGATCTGAAGAGAGAAACGGAAGGGCTAATCATTGCCGCTCAAGATCAAGCTTAAAGAACTAACGTCATAACTCCAAAATCGAAAATAAGGAAATTCAATTTCTGGAAAGTGTAGAATTTGTGGCACAAGTGACAAAACGGTTGAGCATATAATTTATGCCTGCAGTACACTTGCACAGAAGGAGTACAAGCTTCGCCATGACACACCTGCGGTACTTTTGCACTAGGAGCTGTGCAAAAAAATATGGATTACCATGTCATGATATCGATCATCATGAAAAATGGTACAAACATATTCTTGATAGTGTGATGGACAACCATGAAGTCAAGTTACTGTGGGATTTTACCATCCAGACAGATAGGACAATCCAAGCAGAAGTCTGGTTATAGTGCTGGTTGAGTAGGAATCAAACAAGACCTGGATTATCGATGTAGCTGTGCCTGATGACAGAAGGATTGAAGTCGAAGAGATTGAGAAAATAGAAAAATACCAGGACTTCGCGAGACTATTAAAGAATTTATGGAAGACAAAGGTTAAAGTAGTACCAGTGGTAGAAGGAGAAGGTCGAAGTTTAGGTTGAGTGTCAAAGAGACCAAAGGATGATGTAAATATCTTAGGCATAAGAAACAGGATAGCAACACTAGATCTGCAATGTTAGGAACTGCCCGGCAGAATATTAAGGAAAGTATTAGAACTTAAGAACTTTAGGAACCTTAAGAACTTTATAAAGGAAAAAAAGTAGCGCAATTGGGTAAGGTTAGATTATGGCATGTCAGTTAATATGTCAGTTTGAAGTCTCAGGTCTTGGGAAAAGACCCGACTAGTACTTTTACCAGGAAAAACTTGTTTTATATCTGATTATCCTGAGGGTGGAATAATAACAAAAAATAAAACAAAATACTAAATAAAATAAGATAAAAACAAT